AAAATATCACCTCATGGTTTTGATTCAGTAAGCAGAAACATTGCTCATTTTTTGATTTCTGCATTTTTCATTGGCCTTCCCCTGGGAAGGGGCGCCAGGCAAACACAATTTTGCATGTGACTTATAGGGGGACTTGAAAGGTTATTTTACCCTGGAGGTGGGGGAATTAGGAAGGTTTGGTTTACCACATCCTTCCACCGTGGGAAAAACTGGCAGCTCTGTAAAAGAAATTAAGTTGATTTCAAATTTTCTTAAATCAAGGACACATAGGCTATACTAGTTGTCTAGAGGATCGTGGGCTTAAAGTTCTCTCCTGTGGTGAAACTAAAGGCTAACTCAGGACTTGGCGGATTGTGTAATCTCAGGCATTGCTATGTAAATCCATTTCCATCATGTTATTCCTTGTATGTGCTTCAGAGTGGTGTGCGACAAACGCAGACTGCAGACTTGCAGATAAACAAGGTAACATAATTTGTTGTGAATTGCTCTAACCGATTCCTTATCCTTAAACTAGAATTTTAAATGACTTAATTAAAAGTTTAGGGATAGGACTGCCAGTCTGCAAGTCTGCAGTCTGCGTTTGTCACACACTGTCTTCCCCAGGGGGATTACTCTGGATTTCAGGTGACGGGGATGATCGAATGGGGGCAAAAATCAAAACCCAAACAAATCCTTAAGGCTTCAAACAAAACCCCAAAAATTCCCTGGACCAAAATTTGACCTCAAAAAAATCCCATGCTGAATTTCTGAGCCTTAAAAATTTATTCGCGGAACCACGCGGCCGGGATACATGGGAACTATCAGGAATCTTCAAATTGTTTCAAGAGCCATAATGGCTCTTGATTGTTTTGGATACCCCAAAAAATCCCTACTTAAATCAAGCTACCAAAAAAAATACTTGCCAAAATTTTCCAACCCAAAAAAATCCCCAAATCGAAAATTTCAAACCCCTAAAAATCCTTCGATCATCCCTGTCACTTGAAATACACGGTACCTTGTGCTGGCTTCAGAGGTGGCAGAGCGTTTTGAAACTTGGGGGGTTCACCTTCCACTCAGCCATACGCATACCCCTACTCAGATTTTCCAAAATTCCCTTTGCATTGTTCATTGGCACAAGCAGTGTGTTCATAATCGATTTGTGACAATGCATCAGTAGGCAGTTGTTCAGATGGGCCTGCTTCATTGTGCTTCTTAGGTAGTTCTTGAGTTGTCTGAGAGCAGAAAATGTGCGCTGTGAAGTCGCCAATGTCGCAGGTATTGTCAAATACAACCGTAAAAGTGGTTTTTGGCACCAAAATGTAGGGGGGGGGGCATTTTTGTTTGGGGGTACTACATACCCCCCTGCCACCCTGCTCGGCCACCTATGTGCTTCTTCTAATAACATGAGCTGGGTCTTCATGATGGCTTTTCAAGTTTACTGTGGTTTCATGTTGTTTAATATGATCTTAACTTTGAGCGCTCTGTGCCCCCATTAAGGAGTGGAAAAAGGAGCACTTTCACAGGGTCCTTTACAAAGTAACCTCCCTTTCCCAGGGTCCCCCACCCCCCATCCCCCAGGGAATGGCCGATGATGGGTGCATTTCAAACAGATTTTTAACCATCCCAACATACTTGAACAGATTCAGATATTAAAAAATATTATACATAAGGGAACACTTAATTTGGAGCCTTGCTCTGTTGTGTGTCCCGCACCTTCATCCCTCGTTTTTGTGTCTTGTTCAAATGTTTTTTTTCCCTAGTCTTTTTCAGCATTGTAATCAAGGTGAAAGCGATGAAATAAAATAAATATATAAATAGATAGTTTCTCTTTAATTTCTTGTGGGGTAGTTCAGGGTACCTGTAGTTAATTCCAGAAGTTTATATAATATTATTAGCTATATGAACCTAATGCTGCAGTAGTTATTATAATCTGTAAATAATTTATTGAAAGGTAAATACTAGACAAAAACAGAAGTAAAAGCAGTCTATCATTATGGCCATTAAGCTTATTTTCAAATATTAAAAGTCTTGGTTGAGTTAATTGACATTTTGATGAAGAACTGTCCTTGTTCAAAAGGTAGTAAATGCAAGCCAGTCAACTGTACCCAGCTCTCATATAGCCACTTAACAACAATGATATGCCAAGTCCGATCTCAGTCAGGTCCTTCTTTTGTACTACCCACCACCCCACCTCCCCTGCCCCACTCCAAAAACATCAACCAGCCACCCCACACTCAATAAACACAATTGCAAATTGACCCAGTCCAATGTTAGATAAAAATATCATAATTTTTCTTTTAACAAGGCCATTACAAAAATGTAACTCTAAAATTAAATTTTGTGGGTCTGCTCAATGACTGGAGTCAAATGTTCAGTAACAATTTTTTGGTAGCTTAAGTTTATTGGCAGTGAATAACTTTATTTTGTTACTTCTTTTTCGCTACTAATCTGTATCTTGATGACCACAAAATTCCCAAATTCACACTTAGATATCAAAATGTAATGGTCTTTTTTAAAGTAAGCTATTGAACTGTTACAAGACAAAAACAAAAGAAATCCTGAGTCAAATGATTTGGTTATTTTTCCTCCAAAATCCCATTTTCAAATCACATACTGTGATAACCTGTATTATATTCTGACCCCATATTAAGATGACAACCGGTGTAGTATGTAGATGATATTACATGGCTCCGCGGAGATACAAAGTTTCTCTTCAAGTGTTGAAAATATTTCACAAGTGCAGTGAACGCAGTGAACGAGTGAAATACTTTTCAACACAAGAAGAGATATTTTGTATCTCCAAGCGGCCATGTAATGTTCTAACTATTTATTGTATAAACACCAATGAAATACCAAACCTTTTCACTTTAATAGTTTTTTGCTGGGAAAAGTGTGATTTATTTTAAAGTAGCCTTAGCAACAGTGATCTTTTCACGTGTGAAGACAACATGTTATTTTCTCATGTGAAGATATATCATGTATTTGTGCAAAAGCTCACCTGGTTAATTTCATTGGTGTGATTATAATAAAAACATGAACCTGTAATTACTGGACACCTCCATATTAAAGTGGGCAATCAAGTAAGAGTCCCGTGGGTGTATGCTTGATATAGTAATGTTATGTCTTAATGAACTTATCCCAAAGGATGGCTTTTAAATTTTTCATGTAAATAAAACTCATTCTACAAGAAAGGTTGTTCACTTGGCCTTATTTTGAAAGTGAGGGATTTTGGATCTAGAAAGTGGCCTATAGAGTACTAAAGTGTGACGTCATAAAAATGAAATTTCTGAAATTATGGGATTTGTCAGGATATTCTGAAAGAACAATGTCCAAGAGGCCTACTTGCCAAAAATGAGCATTTGGGGGCAAATTGTCTCTGAGATCGTAGCCCAGTTATGCTTACAAAACTCCATACGAACCCTTCTAAATTTTTTTTGGGTCGACCCAAAAAAAAATTAGAAGGGTTTGTATGGAGTTTTCTGAGTATAACTGGGCTACGATCTCAGAGACAATTTGCCGTAAAATGCTCATTTTTGGCAAGTAGGCCTCTTGGACATTGTTCTTTCAGAATATCCTGACAAATCCCGTAATTTCAGAAATTTCATTTTTATGACGTCATCACTTTAGTACTCTATTGCAATGTATCATAAATGCTTATTAAAATTTGGCACTGCATTTAACCAATCAGATTGTGGAATTTTGGTCTAGTTATGATAAATTCATTAGATTTAGTGTAAATCATATTTTCAGGTCGTCATGGCAATGGGAGGAGCAACTGGTGGGCGTGTAATCACGTTTATGCCACCAATGCTGCCAGGTACTCCTACTGCACCCACAGTTTTGACTAGAGCCCCCGCTACTGCTGGAACTGGTAAGAGGAGTTTAAGCACTAAAGTACAGGGGTTTCAAAAAGCACCGATGGCTGATGAAATGCATCAGCTACTTTGCTTATAGAGGTCGGCAACTTTTTTCTAAAAGGAAAAAGCAACTAGTTTGAATAAGGTTGTAAACAAAAAATATATCATAAAATCTGAATGAATAAGTAAATTATTATAATGGATGATTTTTTCATAAAGGCCCACTGATTGCATTATGCTTTAGTCAAGTGAACACTATATTTCAGTCAAGTTTCTTAAAAAAAATGCTGTTTTGTCCTCAGATTTAGTCTCTAGAATGCTGAGAAACGCATATTTTCACACTGTTTTAGGGCTTTGAAATTTCAAAATTTTCTGGGGCAGAACATGCCCAGACCCTCCCCCCACCCCTTTAGAAGGGGACTAACGGCCCCTTGTTGATACAGTTGGTTACTGTATTCAAACCTGCTCGCTTGAAACCCTTGAAATCAATTATGGTATTCCCTTTAAGGTATTAGCCAACTTGAAGTTCAGCATGTGAGATACAGTAGACTGTTTGATATTTTAAAAAAAATACACAATTTGAAGTGGTGTGTGGAGTAAGTCTTGCAGCCCCAAGTGACTCCATTCTGATTTATTACCCAGTTCTCCCTCTCATTTCACTATGTATATCCAAGGCGAATTGAAAGGAGAAATCTAGCAGTATATCAAAAGTTACTTGAGTCTTCAGGCATCTTTAAAACAGTCCTGTGGTGCAATTCAACAGCACCTCTGTCCCAAGTCTTAGCTTTTTAAGCAGCCTTCTGACTTATCAAACAGTCATATCCAACAGACACCGTCCACTGGGGGGACATTATCATATGTTTGCAGATGTATAACCCAGTATATCTTTGTTAAGCTACCAAAGCCCATGCAGCAGGCATTATTACAAGTGAAAAAAAGGACAAATGAAAATTAGCTGAGTAATTGTTCTCAATATTTGTCCAACTCCATGGCAAGTTTCATGGGACACTTCTCCCCCCTGAATCTGAGTTTGAAGTCATCATGTTTAGCATCAAGGTAGTTTTTTTGGTTTTGTTTGTTTGTGTTTTGGCTGTTTCATGAAACTAATGAACTCATATGTCACTTACCTTTTCTTCAGCATTTTCAAGGCAACTTTTATGTTTTTCAGTCAGCAGTTTTGATCTTGGAAAGAACCAGAAGAGATGGGTTGTGATCGGGATTTGCTTGAACAGACTTCTGTTGCCAGTTCTCCGGGATTTTGTGGGTCAAGAAATTCCCAAACACTACACATCCTTGAAGAGTACACATGGAATTGACACTCAAGTCTATGGAAGACATAAGACGCATGATGGGCCATCTCAGCTGAACTATGGAAGCATCAATAATAACTGGGGAAATTTTAAGAAAAAATTGCGTTCATATGATTACAAAGTTGGAACAGCTGAAGACTTGGCTAAACTTTATCTCGAGCCACACATGGCCAAGTTTACAGGTATTGGTATTAAAATTGAAAACGTTAATTTTCCCTAATCGTCTCCCTGGAAGCACATTTTCATGCACTATACCAGCACAGGGTGAACCAGATTGCTCTCTGGGAATACAGTCAACTGTCTCTTAATGGACACCTCTATGATAAAACGGTCAGCTGTAGCACTCAGTTGTTGTAGTCAGAGTTGCACTCAGCTAGTCAGTTTTTTTTTCTTAAAGGAGGAGGAGGGGGTGGTGCAGTGGGAAGAGCACTTAATTACCTCCTAACACTGTGACCTGAGCTCTCGTCCCGGCGTCAGCGCCTTGATGTGGTATTGAGTTTGTTGTTAGTTCTTGCCTTTGCTACAAAAGGTTTTTCTCCAGCCACTCGGATTTTGTCCTACCCTTACATTTAATTATTTAATTATTTATTTATTCTTTGACTCTTTTTAAGGTAGACATTTCCCTCAGTCATTTGGGCATTAAACTTAATGCCAATGCCAGTTTGAATGTATCACAGTCAAAGTTGTTGCTCAATCAAATTAAGGGCCATATTTTTAATACGAGGCCAGCTGTAAGACGGAGTCATACTTTGATATCCAGACGTTTTTGAACTCTCATAGTCATTTGTGCTTAAAACTATCGCCTGTTCTCTGAAAAAAATATTTTCTGCGTTGCATCCAAATTTGTTATGTGCTATGCAAAATATGAAAAATATTGCTCAGTTGGGAAATCAGAGGCAAGTTTCACGCAAAAATGTATCAATTTGCAGGATTTGACAACACTTGTGACCTGTCAGCAGTTCTGGGGATTCTGGAAAGGGCGTCTGTTTTTCACACTCGTATCCAAACCAATGCCAATGATGTGCGCTCTAAAGTAAGAAATGAGTGGGGACACTGCAACTTTGACCACTGGACTGACGTGGAGTTCCAGAACAGTTTTCAACTTATGGAGACCATGGTTCGTTCACTCGGGCTGCCAAAGCCCGATGAAGACAAAGAACTAGAAAAACTGCATGACTGGGAAACAAAGGGTGAGTACTTGCCCCTACAGTAATATGGTAAGAAGTTGGTTAAACTCAGTTTCACTTGATGTGACATTACACTTGCGCATATTTGCTTTGTAGAAAGAAGGGAAGTCTTCCTAAAGTATTGAATATAAGAAGCGCCTGGACTTCTCTCTTTTAGATAATCTGTTCCAGGCGTCCAGATTGTGGGGACGGTGCAAAGAAATGTGAGCAGGAAAAACAGAAACGGGGATCTGTTATACTAATTAAGTCTAAGAAAAGGATCGTTTACGTGTTGTCCAATTTCAGTTATAAAAATTGCGCGTTAATCTACCTACAAGAAAGCTACAAAATTTGGCTCTTATTTTTTTTATTTTATTCTTATTTTGCTCAATAGTAGAACGTATCTAAGTATTCTAAATTATCGATAAATTACCTCAAGTTCTTCCTCAGGGACTTAAGCATTTCTTCATTTGTTTAGTGACTTATTGATTATGGAAATCGTGATTTATAGGTTTGGAACTATGTTTGGGCTGCCCTGTGGATAAAGATTTGATGAAGCTTATCAGTGTTGAAGTTAGCAGCCTACAAAAAGATGTAGACAATATAAGGCAATCCAGTACTGATGAAGCCAACAAGATAAGTGCTGCCCTTCAAACTATCAGAGAAGAAATTGATAACTTTGACAGGCGAATAACTCAGATTGAAAGAAATCTCGAAGTAGAACGAAAGGAGCGGTTAGAAAAGGAGGCAGCTTTATCAGATGCAATGGCAGATATTTCAAGCGAGTTAGCAGAAGTAGACCAACGTGTAGATGTTAATGAGAGGGACATTTGTCGGTTAAAAGATAGGCAAAGTAATTTAGAGACCACTGTATCGTCTGTAACTGCAGACATAGGAAATTTAAAAAAGGGGCAAAGTCGTTTGGAAGCTAGGGTTGAAGAACTAGAGAAAAAGAGTTTTAAGACAGCAGATATCCAGATTTTTCAAGTACCTAGCCGCAATAATTGCTTTTGTGGTCGCGATAGGGAACTAGAGGCAATTGCAGTGCAACTAAAAAATACCCCGAATGGTTGTATTCACTCAGCTGTTTGTGGTCTCGGTGGTGTTGGGAAAACTTCTCTCGCGGTAGAGTTTCTCTGGCAACATCAGGAAAAATATCCAGGGGGTATTTTCTGGATTTCGGGAGAAGATAAGTTTTTTCAAAGGTCCGTCAATGAGATGGCGCTTCAAATTGGAACGTTCGAAAACGATTTTCATAACTCCTTGTCGAGAACCCTTGACTGGCTCAGGAAACGCGAAAAACTGTGGTGTTTAGTTGTCGATAATCTTGACGAGTTAGAAATGTCCCAAGAAATGCGTAAGCTGCTTACTGGTAACTGGAAATATATGGCTCGTGGTCACATTATCATAACAACAAGAAGGGAAGTTTCACAAATTGGAGAAGCAACAGGAATTGACGAGCACTGTTGCATTGACTTGAAATGCTTAACAGAAGAAGAAGGCATTCAGTTCCTACGGCTGCGAACTGGCCGAACAGATGAGGGAGAAGACAACGACTTACGTCAACTGGTTAGAGAACTTGGAGGACTGCCTCTAGCTCTTGATCAAGCTGGGGCCTATATACGAAATGTTAAACAGTCCATAAAAGAGTATGTGAAGAAATACAAGAAGCAGAAGGTGCGTCTCTTGAAAAAGACAAAAGCCAGAAATTTTGTGGAAAACACCTCTTCCGAGCGGCTAGCTGTCCACACAACATGGATGTTGAATTTCGTTCACATCAGTCGCATCTCAGAAGAGATGGAACTTGGAGAGGCTCCCACTCTGTTTATGCAAGTTTCTGCTTTTTATGGCCCAGATGACATTCCATACGAATTGATCAATGAAGGGCTACTGGAGGAAGGCAGTTCTGTGGAGGATAATGGTATGTGGGATGAGGCTGAAATAGTGTCTCTTCTAACTAAGTTTTCTCTGTTTCAGAGATACGGGACGCACTCTTTCAGTGTTCATCGTTTAGTGCAGGAAGTGATTCGAAGTGAGCTAGAAAAAGAACAAACTCAGTTCAATGTTCTCTCACGTGCAGTACGGGTCCTTCACTACGCGCTAAAAAATACTCGGTCGCCGGCTGAGGTGTGCGAAAGTTTCGTCGAAGATGCTGTTTTTAGTGTCAAGAATCCCCCTTCGTTGCAGTTATGGGCTAAATTGGCCTCGCATGCTACCTATTTACAGGAGCATTTGTCCAACTTTTCAGTGAAACATAAAGCAGTAGCCCATACTTTGCTCTATAAAGAGGAAACCGTGCGTGTTTTTAACGAAGCTGGAATCTTTCTCAGTGTGTCTCAAGAGAAAGTCAAAGCTCAGGAAGTACAGAAACTTAAACTAGAATTCCTAGTGAACCTAACGAAGTCCACAGAAGACTACAGCGCAAAACTGCCCAGCTATTTTATTGATATCCCGTTAAAGGACAGGGACTGCAAGCTGATATCCCATTGTATGAGACAACCGGTCTCGGACGGCGATCCCGAAGATGAAGCAAATTCTGTTAAAAAAGAAAGCGTGGAAAAGGTTGACGAGCTCAGAGGGCAAGGAAATTTTGCAGTAAAAAATGAAAGATACGAAGAGGCGATTAATCTTTACTCCAGCGCCATTGGTTTGACTTCCCATGACCATCGACTCTTCGCCAACCGCGCTCTCTGCTATTTGAAACTTGGCCAGCCACAACAAGCTTTAGATGACTGTGAAAAGTGCCTCTTATTATGTCCCCGTTACAGCAAGGCATTGCAACGCAAGGCTTGGGCTCTGCAAAAACTTGTTGAAAATGGTTCATCTCACCTTGAAGGACAAAAGTTGGCTGCACTGGCACTAGCTATCCAAAATGATCCCAGTCTTGGCAACGAAAAAGGGTTTTGGGAAAAGTTTCCAGGAGTAAACGCGCCGTTCAGAGTAATAGATAATGAAACGCAGTTGACGTTTGCTTTAATGACGGCACAAGGTACTCTGCTCCTGAAGGGAGGTGTTTATAATTTAAAGCGCTTCGTTATCTTCAATGATTTCCAAATTGTAGGTCTTGCGAAAGAAGTCGTCTTAAGTTGTACACAATGCTGTCTTATTTCCTCTGCAAAGTGTTATTTTGAGAATATTGTGTTCCCTAAAGGAAGCATTGGCATAGTTTGCAAAGGCAAAGAATCGGTCATTCATATGAAGCATTGTCAAATTTCAGGAGGTTCAACTAGTTGTGAGGACTTTCCAGAATGCAATGGTGGTGAAGGATGTATAGCGGTCTCTTTAGGAAAACCTGCTTGTGATCGCACTGGTAAGTTTGGATTTCCAGAATTGAAGTCTGGTGTTGGCGGTTTTCCCGGAGTTCAAATTCTCGATGAGAGCTTTGCTCTCATTGAAGACTGTGCAATTCATGACTGTGGTGGTGGCGGCGCGCTAGTCGTTGGCAAGGGTTCTCGCATGGCTGTCAATAAATGTGAGGTGTACAAGAACCACCAAGCTGGTCTAGAGGCAAGAGAAGGTGGAAACCTCTCAGCCTCTCAGAACAAGATATTTAATAGTGGTTTCCATGGTGTCCTAGTCGGCCCGAATGCAGGAGAATGCGTTATCACTGGGAACAAGATATTCGAAAATGCAAGAGAGGGAATCTATGCCTGTAGCAACAAGAATACAATAGAAATAACCAAAAACGATGTACACCACAACGGGCCTTTTGGTCTTTCGCTGGATGATAATTCTCACCTTGTGATCAGCGATAACAAGATTTTTGAGAATGGATTCTGGGGAATCTTAGCCAAATCGCGAACTTCAGCCATGATTACAGGAAATGTTATCTCTGGCAACAAGTGTGGCGGCATTTTCTTCGGTGTTAACTATTCCGGACGGGTTCACCTAGAATCAAACACAGTGCGAGACCATAGCGGCCCATGGTTAGAGTATCAACAGATTCCTAGCCGTTTTACCCATGATGTTGCCCGTTTACCCGATGGAGGGGAATTTTTTTCGGGTCTTCCAACTGGGGAAAAACAGTTTTATTCCAACCCACCCATCCTAATCGGAAACAAGGTATTTAACAACGAAGAAGGTATGTATCACCCGAAAGAGGTAATTGAGCGAGTTTACAGTGGTTGTACTTTTTGTCGTCGACAGGGGGAAGTGCGTCACCTCGTGAAGTGTCCTACTTGTCATATTGCCTCGTATTGCAACAGAGAATGCAGAGAAAAACATTTGGCCACACATAAGACATTATGTAGCGCCTTGAAAAGTCGTTATTCTGTAACGGTCAAAACCTTTTCACTATTAAATCCAGGGCAAGCGCAAATTCGAACATTTGGGACTCATTTAAAAGATATTGGAAAAGGGCCAAAACCCAAATGTGACGGTATGCAAAAATTCATCGTCAAGATTCAAACGCAGAATCTTAATAGCCACCCGTTGCAGACGATGGGTGTTTACGACAAAAGCCTTACACTAGATTGTAGAATTCAAAGTCCAGAAATCTTCAGCGTGATAATGGAATGCGGAGTCCTTGGAAAGTTGCATAAATTTACAAGCAAAAAAGTTTTTTGTTGGGCCACGTTCTCTAAGAGAGAAGAGAAGCTGACAGTTTTTCTTGATCATCTTGCTCCCTATCAAGAATGGTAACTGTATCAGGACAGAGAGCTAACCTTCTAATACAGTCAGCGCAAAATAATATAATGAGCGCCTTACCAAAGTAAAGTGGAGTGTAT